CTCTCTCTCTCTCTCTCTCTCTCTCTCTCTCTCTCTCTCTCTCTCTTTCTCTCTCTCTCTCTCTCGCTCATGAAAGCGTGTCGTTCGTCACATGTTCTCACAAATGTCTATCATGTCTGTTGTTATAGATGAACTTTTCGAATGTGTCGACAACTGTGGCGGGTGAGACTTTTGCGTGTACGACCGAAGACGTGCAGCTACAGATATCGGACATCATGTTTGGAGAAGGCGCTAACAAGTTGTCCGATATGAATCCAAGGAGAGGCGTGACAGGAAACGATACGAGCCAGGGACGTACGTTGGAATTAGAAACAGAGGAATTGTTGGGTGTCATTTGCGAGCATGCAAATGCGGATGTGGAAAAAGGGAAGGCGACAAGCAGCACAAACACTACAATGTGCACAGTTTTCAGGGACTGTGTCACCAAGTTGAAAGCAGGAAAGGAATTCGAGTACGATATCAATTGGGAACCTGGCAAGGTGCAACCAGGGTTGATCGGTGCTGAACACTGCATCGCCTTTAAGAGTGGTGACACATGGGTTCCGTATCGTCCTCGAAAATTGAAAACATGACGTTATATCACGGCAGCGATTATTTTCGACCGAGTGAAAAGGATAAACGGCGGGGTGGCGGTTGAGGATTTGGTCAAATACACAAATGTCCTTACTAAGAGATTGACAGAAAAGAGGGAGATACGACCTAATGATTTTTTTTATGATCGTTATGAATCGACCGAGTAATGGGTGGTTTCTAAGGACGGAAGAGGCGGGGATGAAATTTGTAAGGATAATGATGCAAGACGGGATGCACGGTGGGGTTGGGTGCCATCAACCATTCCTTGTGACTATGGGGAGATTAAAATTTTAGTCCGCGATCTAATGGGGAACTGTTGGAGTACAGTTTACATAAACGGTGAGTTCATCTCTCGTTGTTTGGACAGGGATCTGCTAAAGTCCGAGAAAGTGTTTATGTGCATGAATGATGCCGCGAGAACACAATTCGCGATCCCGCTTGAAAACCCGGTGTTGTCACCAATTATAGAGGGGAAAGTTTTTTCTGGGGAGGATAACATTTGTCTGCGACATGTAAGAGGCATGGAGGTCACTTATGATGGTCTGTTCATTAGCATATGGGACCCTGATATGACAACGCCGGAGAGGGTGCGTGACATTGATATATCCGGGACTGTTGTTCCACACAGTGAGTTCAACATACGTTCATCGACTGAGATATAAGGTTATCATGTGAGTTGGGTACCCGGTGTCTTTCATCCTGCCATCTTCGAAAACAAAGTTACGATGGTAGGCAGACTGCATTCAGGTGAATGACTACCTATGGGTTGGATGCTTTCAGGTGTTGTTGAGCATTGGCGATTCATGGTTATTCTAGCTCGTGTGTAGTTGTGCAACTCAAGGGTGAACGACAAATCATTATTACGTTAGCATGCAAAGATGTGTTGGGATATGACGGGCGTGAAGATGAGAATATGTGGTCAATGTAGGGCGATGGTGTGGGCACAACATCTTTGAACGATACACCTGATAATTGTCTGAGCCTCATTCGTCGCAGATACGGGCGGACAACACTTCTTGGATGGGTACCCGTTGTGTGTCCCATGCGTTATGCGTGTGGGGCCGACGTGTCCATGGTCTTCAGAGACCCTCTCGCTGTTTCGTTTTTTGTGACGTACTCAGATGGTTTACTGCATCACATTCAGTACATGTCGGTGGAGGACATGGCAGGCAGCGATGATAACAGGGGCATTCCAGAACCTCATATTGCACGCACAATACAACCGGCATGTGAGGTAAATGGACCGCCTCCAGACACGGACGTGGCATGTGCTGCAAACAGACAAGCTGAAGACACGGATGCGGGATGTGCTGTTGTGGACAAGAGCAGACCACCAAGCGGCACGATAAACAGCGATGGTAGCCGGAAGATTGAACGAGGAATGAAGCGGAAGGCCACAAGCAGAAGAGACAATGGGGGAACACCGACGCTAGCAGAGAGGGGGAGGGGAGGAAATGGGAAGAGGGGAAAAACACCAATGGCACGTGGACGACGGAGAGGAAGGGGGAGGGGGCAGGGAGGAGCAGCAATGGATGGCCCAGGGGAAACACGAAGAAAAATTGGTGGAAGCGAAGGAGTTCAGAGGCGCAATCGCCAACCTGGAGAGGCTGCTGTGGCATAAATGCGCCGGTTGCAACCCAGCACAGACCTTTGCATCGCTTACAAACCATTTGTAAGGCTAGTGAGGGAGATTGTGCAGAAAGAAGAAGTTGCAACAAATCCAATGCGGTTCCAAATGCTTGCAATTCGTGCACTTCTCGAGGCAGCCGAAGCTTATCTCGTGCATTTGATGGAGAGCACGAACGAGGTTGCAATCTATTCGAAGCAGGTGAGGATCTTTCCAAAGGATATGAGACTTGTTGACGCGTTGCAAAAACCACGTTGGTGTGTCTTTACAAAAGGCACACTAGATGAGAAAGAAGTAGTCAGACAAAGACAAGAGAGTAGGAGGGGAACTGCTAATGACGCAAACAGAGAACAAGCAGTGCAGGAATCCGCACAACAACAGGATTGTGGAAAGGGGAAGGGGGCGTCCAAGAGGAAAGGAAAGCCAATGAAAAGCACCGCGACAAAAAAAAAATAAAAAATGATTATTTCCTGATAGAACTTCTGTGCGTGTGTGTGTGTGTGTGTGTGTGTGTGTGTGTGTGTACTATATGTGTGTGTGTGAGAGTGTGTGTGTGTGTGTGTACTATATGTGTGTGTGTGTGTGTGTGTGTGTGTGTGTGTGTGTACTATATGTGTGTGTGTGTGTGTGTGTGTGTGTGTGTGTATTATATATGTGTATGTGTGTGTGTGTATGTGTGTGTGTGTGTGTGTGTGTGTGCTAGATAGATAGAAAGATAGATAGATAGATAGATAGATAGATAGATAGATAAATATATATATATATATATATATATATATATATATATATATATATATAGAGAGAGAGAGAGAGAGAGAGAGAGTATAAACATTTATGTCTTGCGGCAGGATACACATGTACTGTTGTTTGTAGCACTTTTGACCCACAACCTTCTACTTCGACGATGTGCGAAAGATATGTTTTTCAAGTCGGTTTATGTTATTTCTCATCTCGTTATTAACTACAAAGCATGTACGTTTTTTTCTGTCATATATCATATATTTGGGTGACACGAGCGCATTCCGCTTCGCACGTGTTCATTGATAGAACAAAAATTTGTCGACCCTTGTCTTTGCCATTGTTTTGTGTCTCTTTCGTTTGTCTTTTTATTGTGTTTTTCGATATGAACAATGAAGGCGAGGAGGGGGGGGGAGTAGGGGGGGAGTGGGGGGAATGAGCAAATGTTGTCTGTTAATGACATGGTGTTTTCCTATCCATGTTTGTCCCCTTCCATGGTTGCGCGGCGGGACATTGGTGACGTTTGGATGGTCACACTTATTTTCGACAGAACAAAAGGTGAGTTATCGTGTAATGAAATCCTTTCATTTAAAGTAAGTGAAAAATATGAGAACGCATCAAAAAACACGAGCACATGCTCATAGTGAGACAGATACATGTTCTCACATATTATCGTACTACAAGCATTGAGACAGACAAAAACATGGAGGATGATGGAGCATAAGGAGTAAACACATGAACATGTGAAGGAGAGAGAGAGAGAGAGAGAGAGAGAGAGAGAGAGAGAGAGAGAGAGAGAGAGAGAGAGAGTTGCAATGCAATATGAACAGTAAACACACAAAGAACCCCGCATTTCAACATGGTTGGGAAGTGGGTGCCACTTACGCTAGAATACGACTAAAACATCTTCGTATATGGTTCCCACTTCGCAACCAGAGAGAGAGAGAGAGTCGGTAACGTGCTTAATGGAGAGAAATGAGAGAGAGAGAGAGAGAGAGAGAGAGAGAGAGAGAGAGAGAGAGAGAGAGAGACACAGAGTTGGTGATAACATTAAAATTGAGAGAGAAAGAGAAAGAGAGAAAGAGAGAATCAATGGAAGAAGGAAGATAAGACACTCATAGATAAAAACTCAGATAAGAAAGTACGATAACTCATACACTCGACGTGGCAATTCATAAAGAAAACCATATCCCTTATAAAATCAACTTGAAGCCCGGTACGCACTGCCCCTACGCGTTTCACTGTGGGCGCACTCGGCAGACTCTTCAGGGCGCTTGACAAAGGGACGTATAATCATATCCTTCTCTCCTTTTTATACTCTCACAGCGAGTCCGTATGTGTCCTACCTACCCAACTCCTTGCATCCTTCTGCCTATAGTTCTATACTTTTCCCTACTTGCGCTCGATCTAACCCAATCCTTTACCTGCTTTCCTAATGGTCCGTCTTGGTAGTACTCTGTGCCGAAATCTTTCCGCTCGTCCTCCCTCCAATACCATCTTCTCCCCTTACATACTCCATCTCCTTCTGTATACCTGCTCCTCCTTTCCCTCAAATACCATCTTCTTAATATCGCTACCCTCTGTGCGCCTACGATGGCGGTGTTGTGCCATGACCCAGAGACCCAGCGTCACTTCCTAAGTATACTCGCACACACATCTTTGGCGAGCCAAACAGTCGAGATCATCTTTGATCTCGTAGAAACCCAGCACCGTTTCGTCAGTTGCTCGTCAATAGTGTAAAGGACATCCAGTTGAATGACAAATCGAATTCAAAAAGATCCTACAATCCACAGAAGTAAATAGAAAAATATTGAAAAGTTCGAAAATTGAAAACGTCCGACACAATAAAAGAAATTTGAAAATCATCCGGGCGTATTCTGATAAAAACATAGACTGAATACTTCCGCAAAATTCCAAAAATTTCCGAAAAAGGGGCCGACAGTTCAAGGATCGACAAAAAGGGTAGCAAAAAGGAATGACAGCAAAAAACGATACGGAGAAACGACCATCAGATGCTTCCCTGGATTTAGTGGTCCGTTTACCTACCCATCCCCGTCCTAAAACCTCACTTCCTCGTTTTGATATCTTGAGACCCTATCATCATTTTCCGGGTTGCAGCATCCGTCTCCTTGTCTCCCTATCTCCCTATTGTACAATACTCCCCTCCTTTCCTTTATATCCTTACACACGAAAATACAAAAAAATACGAAAAGCGTAAAACGAAAACACGACAAAACGAAAAAACGAAAAACCGGATTTTCATCCATTGTTACTCCTTCGTTACTTGCATTGCATATACCTCACCACACCGGGGTACAGTCTAGAGATTTGAGCCCTCCAGAGACTCCCGAAGACCTTAGCAAATCTAGCTAAGGCAGCGAGAGAGAGAGAGAGAGAGAGAGAGAAAGAGAGAGAGAATGCAATATGAACACCAAACACACAAAGAACCCCACATTTCAACACGGTTAAGAAGTGGGTGGCACTTACGCCACAATACGGCTACAACAGCTTCGTATATGTCTCCCACTTTCCAACCACATCGTCACAAGTGTAAGTTATGTGATACAGAAACAACAATAACAGAGCGAACGAGCGAGAGAGAGAGAGAGAGAGAGAGAGAGAGAGAGAGAGAGAGAGAGAGAGAGAGAGAGAGAGAGAGAGAGAGAGAGAGACAATGCAATATGAACCCCAAGCACACAAAGAACCCCACATTTCAACACGGTTAAGAAGTGAGTGTCACTTACTCCAGAATACGGCTACAACGTCGTCGTATATGGTTCCTACTTCCCAACCACATCGTCACCAGTGTAAGTTATGTGGTACAGTAACAACAATAACAGAGAGAGAGAGAGAGAGAGAGAGA